CCCACGGCATGGCCCCACCTGCCCCTTGGTGCACCTCAATGCACCCCACACCCATCCATATGGGGTCTATGGGGTCCCCATAGGGTCTCTATTGGGCTCCAGAGGAGCACAGTGGGACTCTATGGGGCAGAGGGGGGCTCTATGCGGCTCTATGGGGATCTATGGGGCTCTATGGGGCTCTGTGGGAATCTGTGAGGCTCTATGGGGCACAATGGGTGGGATGGGGACATGGAGTGACCTTACCCCTCCCCAGCCTCACTCATGGGAATGTGTCACCTCGTGGGTACATTTTTCACCTCTCCGATGACAAAGTGGACGCCATGTTCAGCGATGGCTGCCAGACCCCCCTTCAGCCCCAGGGCCCAGCCCCATGGCACCTCTTTGGGGCGGGACAAGATAACAAACACCCCCTGCCATTGCCCGAAATAGATTTGGCAGGGACAAGCTGTCACCTCTTGTGAGTGATGGGACATTCGTGGGGACTCAGGCATCCGGGTCCCATAGATTCCCCACACACAAAGGACGCAGGATTCTGGGCCCCATAGATGCCTCACACACAAAGGACCCAGGCATCCAGGCCCCCATAGATTCTTCCCAATAAGAGACCCAGGTGTCTGGGCCCCACAGATTCCCCCCCCCCCAAAGAATGCAGGCATCTGGGCCCCAAAGCTTCCTCCCACACAAATGACACAGGCGTCTGGGCTCCATAGATTCCCCACACACAAAGAACCCAGGCGTTCAGACTCTCTAGATTCACCCCAATAAGGGACCCTGGCATCTGGGCCCCACAGATTCCTCCCACACAATGAATCCAGATGTCCCAGCCCCATAAATTTCCCCCACAGAACAGGCCCAGATGGCTGGGCCCCATAGATTCCCCAGACACACAACGAACCCAGGCATCCAGGCCTCATAGATTCCTCCCCCAATAAGGGACCCAACCATCTGGACCCCATAGAACTGTGGTCAATGGGGGGTGAAGGGCTTAATGGGGGGTAAAGGGTTATTGAGCGTGTGTGGTGCATGGGCGGAGCTGGATCCCACTTCAGCCCAAGGGCTTCCAGCTTGGGATATGATGCCGGTGTTCCCTTGGCTGAATTCCTGCCTTGCACAGGGGAAGCCAACCCCTCCCTTTCCCTGTCTGTGTGGGGGTTTTGTGATGATACAGGAATGGAGGTGTCCAGAGGGGAACATTTACACCTCTCACAGTCAACCACGCTCTGGTAGGAGTAACAATACTGCTGGGATCAGTCTCTCTCCATGGTTTAGTGAGGGACTGTCCATGGTTACTTGAGTTGACTTCAAAGCATGTTCCCCTGCTAACACCCTGTTGGATTTGGGGAGCTGTCAGCTCCTGGAGCCCCAGGGACACCTGGAGGGAGCCCAGAGGGGCAGAGAAAGTGCTGCCTTGGGCTGCGCCTGTGCTGCTGAGCTGAGCTGGGCTCCTGGGATGGAGGGAGCTCCTGGCAGGTGGGCAGTGCTGCAGAGAGACAGCTCTGCCCAGGAGCAGCTCCTCTGCAAAGCGCAGCAGGGCTGGGGGCACTGCCTCTGGGCACTGAGGGCAGACAAGAGAGGTAAAAGTCAGTCTGGGGTGGCAAGACAGCTGAGAGGTCACTGGGGGACAAATCTTCACAGCCCTTGACATGGTAAGTCTCTGGCTGTAGGGTAATGAAGATAAGTTCCTGGCAATGTGTCCTAGACCTGACACATGTCAGAGCTGATAGGATCTCTCCAGATGGCTCTCCTGGCTTTTCTGGTGTGGAGGAGGAGGACACACTCCAGAGCAGGGATTGCATCTGTGCCATCAGGGCAACAAGGCAAGACAGCTGCCTTCTCCCAGGGATGGCTGCAGGGATGTGAAGCTGGGTGTGCAGCCAGGTGTTCCCAGGGCTGTCCTTCCGAGCAGGGTCCTTGCACCCCAGGGGCTGTGTGCTGGGGCAGGGGCTGTGCCGCCTGCCAGGGTCAGCACTCAGCCTGACCAGGGAGATCCCCGTGACAGCTCTGCAGGGAGACGATGTGGGTGGAAGGAGCAATCCTGAGCAAGGCAGGGGTTTTCTGCTGTTGAGAGGTTGCTGCGTGAGTCTAGGCTGCTCAGAGCTCCAGATCAACCCCAGAATATTTCCAAGGGGATGTCTCAAGGAGAAGAACAAGGCAGAGAGTACTATAAAGAGAGGAGCTTTCCTGAGTCTGTATGTTTAGTTTCCTATTTCAGGAACGGGGGTAGAGGGAGAGAAATGGAAAAATGGAAAAGCAGCTCTCAAATTTTAACAAATCACTGAGACTACTGAACTGTAACCCTGAGTGACAGGTCTGCCTGAAGCTTTGTAATGTACCTTCAGCTACTCCTCTGCCTACGGACAGCACCAGCATCACCTTTGCTGGACTCATCAGGGTTCTTCTGACCTGCCCCGTTCCACCTGCAAACAGGAAGATGCGCCCAGGCTGTGCCCTGCAAACAGGCAGAGTTCTGTAGGGCCAAGGTGAGTGCACAGAGGTTGGGATAGGGTCTGTCAGTGCTCAAAGGGAAAAGACACGGGACAAGAAAACACCTCCCAGGGTGAGAATCTTCCAGGCAGCAGGGAGTTGATCTGGAAACCAGAGGAAACTAAAACCAGAAATGTTGTGGGAGGTAAATTCAGAAAATTCCATAGGATCCCATCCAGTGCAGAGCTCTTCGACTGAGCAAGCCCCCTTGCCTCCTCTCCCGCCCAGCAAAGCCTCTGCCCTCAGGGCTGTGGGGTCCAAGGCGCAAACCACCTCCTCTGCAGCCAGAGCTCCAGCAGAGCCGTGGGCAGCTCTCCAGCCACGTGCCCAGTTCCCTCTGCAAAGCACAGGGGCTGAGAGCAACTACCTGGCAATGGTGGTGTCTGGGAGGTGGTGCGCAGAGCTGGGTGAGGGTAACGCTGTCCTGAGTGCCCGGCTGCCTCTGCCCGGGCCTCTCTCAGCCACTACCTCTCTATTTTTTCTTTGTTCCTCGACTTGTCAGTGTTCCTGCTGTTGTCACCTTATTCTCTCAGTCAGGCTCTCTGGGGAGGTGGAGTTTCAGCTGCAGAGTCACACATGGATCTTCTGGGTCCTTTCTTGCAGCTGTGTCCATGGGAACAAGTGTCCCAGCTTTCCTCTAAGCTGTGGGGCTGTGGGCAATGCAGTCGGTGCATCTAGGGAAGGAGCTGAATATCCCTTGATCAAATGCCATCATTAGGACACTTGGCTATCTCCTCGAGGTTTGCTTCCAAGTCATGAACTTCCCTCCAGGATGCAAACTTTTCCTATAGCATCTTTGGGTTATCTGAAAACCCCATGCAGAAGCACAGAGATGCTATGATGAAGAATATGCTGTTGGGTTTGTGAAATGAGCCAATTGTGTCCTTGGCGAGAAGTGGGGTGCTGAGACCTTGAGAAAGCATGAGACATTTCATAGTCTGTGGTGGATCCCTCTGCTATCAGCAATGCCTGGTGGTTTTTCAGGGTAATATGGGAGCATGATCACCCTCCATCTCAGAAAGGTGCAAGCCCAGAGAAACTGGGAACTAGGCCGAGGGACAGAGCACTAAGCCACAGGCAAACCTCTTGCCTCACAGGGCTCACTCTGTTCTCCCTGAGTGCATCAGAAATGCTGAGGGTTTCTGACATCCAAGAACACTCCCCAGGGGACAAGGGGAGGTGTAAAAAACCTAGGACGCTAAAATTGCCTTTACCATTCCCATTGCTTCGCAGTGCGAGTGTAGATACTGACAGGCCCTTCTGTGGTAGCAGTGGTTTCATGGGACAAAGTTGAACACCAGGACCGGTCCCTGTCCTTACCCACTTCTGAAGAGCAGGGCTGACTTATCAAGAGCCCAGGGGCAGAGACCCTCCTCTTTGTCGGAGTGAGAGTCGGGCCCCGAGTAACGACATAGCCTCAATATGAGTATGGTCGTTCTCCCTTTATTTAAGTTTTGACAGCATATTTATAGACAAGCAGAAAGCCATGCACTAAGCCACACATCTATGATTGGTTTACAACTTATGTCCACGCATATCGGATTATTTTTAATTGGTACACGTCTCGTGTCCACGCGGCATGAAGTAACACTGTTCACTCCCCTACTCATGGAGATAGCTCCTTTTATCTTTTCTTTTGTTCTGCTGCTTCTGCTTCTTAGGGGATTCAAGGAGAGTTCACGGTTACTTTCAGGCCTGCAGCTAAGGCTTTTATTCGCAGCCTATTGCAAGAGCTGGATTGTTCATCGCAATCACGTTATGTCCCTTCTCATTCAGCCACTCTTCCACACCTCTTGATGGCACACATGGCCAGCACTAAGCAGGGCTACAACCACAGGGATGAAGGAAGATGTCCCAGAAAAAGAAAAAGGTGTCTGTGTGTGTGACAGAGGGAGGGTCTATGGGATATGGCTTTGATTTTGCAGAAAGAAGTCTCCCCTAACTTGTCACTGTCTTTTCTTTGTCTGATAGTACCCTATGCCTGGAGGCAGCAGATGTCCAACAGCAGCTCCATCACCCAGTTCCTCCTCCTGGCATTTGCACACACACAGGAGCTGCAGCTCTTGCACTTCTGGCTCTTCCTGGGCATCTACCTGGCTGCCCTCCTGGGCAATGGCCTCATCCTCACCACCATAGCCTGCGACCACTGCCTCCACACCCCCATGTACTTCTTCCTCCTCAATCTCTCCCTCCTTGACATGGGCTCCATCTCCACTACTGTCCCAAAATCCATGGCCAACTCCCTCTGGGACGTAAGAGACATCTCCTACTCGGATGTGCTGCACAGGTCTTTTTCTTTCTCCATTTCTGCAAAGTATTTTCTTCTCACTGTCATGGCCTACGACCGCTACGTTGCCATCTGCAACCCCCTGCACTACGGGACCCTCCTGGTCAGCAGAGCTTGTGCCCACATGGCAGCAGGTGCCTGGGGCCCTGGGGTTCTCACTGCTGTCCTGCACACAGCCAATACATTTTCCCTACCCCTCTGCCAAGGCAATGCCCTGGATCAGTTCTTCTGTGAAGTCCCCCACATCCTCAAGCTCTCCTGCTCACACTCCTACCTCCGGGAAGTTGGGTTTCTTGTGGTTAGTGTCTGTTTAGCATTTGGGTGTTTTGTTTTCATTCTTTTCTCATATGTGCAGATCTTGAGGACCGTGCTGAGGATCCCCTGTGAGCAGGGACGGCACAAAGCCTTTTCCACGTGCCTCCCTCACCTGGCCGTAGTCTCCCTGTTTCTCAGCACTGGCATATTTGCCTACCTGAAGCCCCCCTCCATCTCCTCCCCATCGCTGGACCTGGTGGTGTCAGTTCTGTACTCGGTGGTGCCTCCAGCAGTGAACCCCCTCATCTACAGCATGAGGAACTAGGAGCTCAAGGATGCAGTGTGCAAACTGATGATTCGATCGTTTTCAGAAGCAATAAATTGACTGTCTTCTTCTGCACAGCATTCATAATGTAACTCATTACAGGCCTAGTCTGCCTTCTTAAGGTTTTGGTGGTGGTGGTGTAGAGGGAGTTTCTTCGTTTCCTTTGTGATAATGTTGTGCACAACGACATGTTATTATTCAACCCAATTCCAATTCACTCTCTACCTACTGAATTTCACCTAGGGATTGTGTAAATAAGACAAAGTACACCTCTGTGCATTTAAACAAAATAAAGGACCCTGCAGCAACTTGTTAGTCCAAAATCCTTCCTCTGAGACTCTCATAAAGCTGGAGGACAGCGCCTCTGTGCAGCGGTGGAGGGGAAAAGAGTCCTGGCACAGCAGCACTGCCAGGGAGCACCAGCGCTTGGTCTTTTCAGATCTGCTCTCTTTCCACTTCCACACTCTCCTGAATCCTTGTGTTGGTGTAAGGCCCGAGTGCTCTGGAAGCTTCGTCACAGTCTTGCAGTGTGGCAGTCCAATGACTGCAGGCAGGGACAGGCAATGGGCACTTCTGTGACACAGCTGACCTCCATAAGAGCATTTCCATCATGAACGGGGATCTCCTGAGCACAGTGCCTGAAGGCTTAGGTTTTCTTCCAAAGCTGCAATCAAGAACTACACACCCAAGGAATAGACTCTGAAGAGGCTTGTTGTTTTGTTTGTTCTTCATGGGCTCAGTGTGATGAGATCAGGGTCCCAGTATGGTCTTCAAGGGACTCAGGGTTGGTTCAGGTGTTGCTTGTTGGTGTCCAGCGCCCATGCAGATGGTGGTCTCCAATTAACCTTTCTGGGGCTCTACAGCATGTGACAGGGCTGATGGCAGGAGAATGTTTTTCTGGAGGGACTTGGGAGCTGCCGGGAAAGCACAGGGGATCAGCGGAGACAGCGTGTGCCAGGGAGTCAGCAGTGAATGGACCCCACTGAGCACGAGCCTGTCCACTGTGATATCACCCACAGATCATATTCTACATCTGGGTGTGAACCTGTTCTCCCAAAAGTACGTTTCATTCATCCGCTGTGTAATACACCAATGTACACACAGAGCAGAGGTATTTTATTCCATGTCTGTACAGAGATGAGTGCTAGTTCCAGAAAGCTAGCACACCCTTGAAAAATCACATGGCAGCTTTTTTACAAGATAGAATCGAAGAAAGTACCCAAAACCAAACGACTCTTTACCCAACTGATTACTGACAAAAAAATAATCTGCACATATCTCATTACCTAATTCACTATTCTAAGTCATTCTGAAATTTCCATCTAAAATATCCTCCTAGGGGTGTGTTTTTTAAAAATTGTAACGAGCCAAGTTCTTGTGAAGGACCCCAACTGTCCAAGATCAGCTTAGAAATCAGTCTCTTCTTCTTATCTCATTGTTTTGGTTCTACTTTATTGTATTCTGCATTCCTCAGCAGTGCACTCCTCCAGTCGCCAGACCTTGGATGGCTCACTGTTCTCACTCAGTGGGAAACTACATTTCTACGGTATATCAAACCTGCAAACGAGAGCTCTGCAGCCCCAGGGACCACAGCAGGCACAGGGAAAGGAGTCTGGCAAGTGATTCCTTTTACCCTCAATGAATTTTTCATAAGCTGGATCCAGGGCAGCACCCAAACACATCTCCCACCACTGCAACAAGGCAGGGGACCTCTGAGCCCCCTCCATGGCCACAGAAGAGCTTGTGTGGGAGGCGGTCAGTGGCAGTGACCACCATCAGCTGGGTCTGCCTCCCAGCCTGACCAGCAGAGCCGAACAGAGTCATTTCGCGGCCCTGGGCACCACAGCCAAGCAGCAACCCCAACGTGGGGGCTGTGGGGAGCATGGGGAGGGGGTGTAGGAACAGCTGGCCAGGCCAGCACAGACGTGCTGAGGTGGGGAAAGGCTCTGTGGGGAGAGGGGATGTCCTGAGAGAAAAACAGGGCACCGTGTGTGTGTGTGCCAGTGAGGCACAGAAAGA